TCTGACCGAGAGCCCTTTTCTCCACTTGACTCTTTAAACTGAAGATGCCTTAATTTGAACAAGGGACCTTCTATAGAGGAAAGACCAGGCTATGCTAATCATGCCATCCAATCGTTCAGTTTGAGAGGACAGTTCCAATTAGTCATCTGTCATTCCACTGTTTCAGCTACTCCTAAAATGCCCATTTTTTCTGTCATCTTTTGATGGAAAGATTTAAATGCATCATCACTCCTTCAAAAATTAACATCTTCATTTTGCAGTAAAGGATTGTGGCAGTGGCAAAAATAATACCCCACAATTCACCAATTTTTGATCAATCTGTTTTCACTAGGTCATAATGTAGCTAATTAACAAAATACAACAGTACAAAAAGTAACTAACATTACTAATGGCAGCAATGTTTTGTACAGAAATATAACACCAAAACTGAATCAAAGGAAAGCATTTAGGAAATACATTTTACAGAATAACATTAGCACCATCTGCTGGGTGATGGTGCTCATTTACCATTTAACTGTCTTCGATAACATTTTGAATGTCCATCTAGCCCTAAGCTTAAGATTTGGCTATTTGTCAGAGGTGTGCAAGTCCTGCTCCTTCATATGTTATCTTTCCATCATATCTCATGATTGGCTATGTTAACTGGTTGGAGTTGTATCCAACAACTTCTGTAGAACCTTGGCTGGGGGCTCTGTGAGTTTAAGTCCAAAATATTCAGAGAATCAAAATTTAAGAACAGAGATATTAAACTGCTATGACTTATGAGGCTGGGAAACCTCATCCATGCCATATTGGCAGAATTCCATCTAACAGCAACACAGAAACTAGGTTTCAGGGTAAAGCGTCCCTTCTGTTATACCAGCCATGTGTTTTTGACAGTTCTACATTGCTTGTGAGGCTTCTGAAACTTTAATCAGTCCACAAGATTCATATTGACTTACAAAAACTGGCCAACACACATTTTTTTTTGCTTCAGATATATTTGACCTCATTCCAAAAATGGTACCAGTTTCTCCCATCAGCTCGAGTTTTGACTGCCATCTACCAGTAGCCATCTGCTTGCCCATAGAAAATTATATCCTTATCTTAGAAACTAGAGCTGATACTCTCTATCCAGTGCATTTTTCTGGAACAGTGTCCCAAATAACTCCAGCAGCAGGCCTAATTGTTGGGCTTTGTAATCAATGGAAGTGACTCAGGGCCATTTTGACACTGCACAATTCATGCTACACAGCAGGGAAGCAATATAAGGAGACTAAAAATGCAACATTTGCCAGTTTGAATCCTATGCAGTTTAAAAGAGAAAGGCAGATCCTCAGTCCAGGTGCGAAAGGCTGGTCATCCAACTGTATTTTAGAATCGAAAACCAGAAAGGTAGATATTAAACTATAACACAGAGTTTCTCAAACTATGTTCCTCCAGATGTTTTGGACTTCAGCTCCCACAATTCCTAACATTTGGTAAGCTGGCTGAGATTTCTGGGAGCTGAAATCTAAAACACCTGGAAGATCACAGCTGTTACAACTCTGCAGGTGCAATGGGCAAGCCTAGGTGACTGTAGCAATGGTAACTTAAGGTAAGATGTTCTACGCCAAGGTTATGCAAAGAAAAGAGAAATATAAAACACTCTTGGGGCACAATGACACTGATCATTTAATGTAGTTTCAAACTGGTATTGGAGAAAGTGGTTTGTCTGTGCAAATGACTGCATAATAATAATAATAATAATAATCATCATCATCATCATCATCATCATCATCATCATCCTCCTCCCAGGTGTAGACTCTGCAAGGAAGCAGACGAAACAATAGATCACATCCTCAGCTGCTGAAAGAAGATTGCGCAGACTACAAGCAGAGGCATAACACTGTTGCTGAGATGATCCATTGGAAGTTGTGTCACAAATACCATCTGCCTGTGACAATTGGTGGGATCACAAGCCTGAAAAAGTTACAGAAAATGAACACGCCAAACTACTCTGGGACTTCTGACGTCAGACTGACAGAATTTAGGAACACAATACTCCTGACCTCACAATACTCCTGACTTCACAAAACGAAGTATGGATTGTTGATGTTGCAATTCCAGGCTACAGCAGGATTGAAGGGAAACAACTGGAAAAGCAAACACGATACAAGGATTTAAAGATCGAACTGCAAAGACTCTGGCACAGGCCAGTAATGGTGGTCCCAGTGGTGATTGGCACACTGAGTGCAGTGCCTAAAGACCTTGGCCTACACTTAAACGCAATCGGTGTTGACAAAATGACCATCTGTCAGCTGCAAAACGCCACCCTATTGGGATCTGCATGCATTATTTGCCAATACATCACACAGTCCTAGACACTTGGGAAGTGTCCGACGTATGATCCAATACAACAGCCAGCATAGTGACCTTGTTTGCTGTGTACTAATCTTCTTGTGTTTCAAATAATAATAATAATAATAATAATAATAATAATAATAATAATAATAATAAGAGGAGGAGGAGGAGGAGGAGGAGGAGGAGGAGGAGGAGGGAAATTGCATAGACGGACTACAAACAAAGGCACAACTCTGTGGCCCAAATGATTCACTGGAATTTATGTCAGAAGTACCACCTGCCAGTAGTAAAGAATTGGTGGATCATCAACCTGCAAAGGTAGTGGAATATGACCACACAAAAATACTGTGGGATTTTCGAATCCAGACTGACAAAGTTTTAGAACACAATACACCAGACATCACGATTGTGAAAAAGAAAAAAGTTTGGATTATTGATGTCGCCATACCAGGTGACAGCCGCAATGATGAAAAACAACAGGAAAAACTCAGCCGCTATCAAAACCTCAAAATCAAACTGCAAAGACTCTGGCATAAACCAGTACAGGTGGTCCCAGTGGTCATTGGCACACTGGGTGCCCTGCCAAAAGATCTCAGCCGGCATTTGGAAACAATACACATTGACAAAATCACAATCTGTCAATTGCAAAGGGCCACCTTACTTGGATCTCCGCACATCATTCGAAAATACATCACAGTCCTAGATGCTAGGGAAGTGTTCGACTTGTGATCTTGTGATATGTAATCCAGCAAATATATCTCATTTGCTATGACATACTGTGTTTTTGTGTCAATAATAATATTTATTTATATCTCAGTTTTCTCCTTAACGGGACCCAAAGAGGATAGGAAATAGGAAATCCTGGAATCAATTTAAGGCTCAGGTGATGATTATTACAAAGTGAACACTGATGCACATTAAAGGCTTTCTTTTGTGCACATTCATTATCTGGCTGCCAGTTTGAAGCTAGCTTTGAACTGCATTAAATGGTCAGTGTAGACGTTACCTTGGTAATCGTGGTCACAAACAGCATTACTACTCAGGAAACCAAAAGGGTATCGGGTATTAAACCCCACATTCAAAGCAATCACAGTGGAAAGGGGCAACTCAGTAGTAGTTGTTGATCTGCAGCAATAAATACTCTTAGAGCGTGTACAACTTTCAGTTGCACTATACTTGAGACAGAAAAAGAATTAACCTGCCCACAGTTATATTCTGTCAGAGGAATCCTATGCCTGCTCATAGTGAGATTATCGTTCATTTCTGTGCCAAAAACCACAGTTTTCTGAAAGTCTTGCATAATTCTCAGGAAAAGCTGTGCAGTTTTCATTTCCTGAGTGTTTTGATAGCTACAGTATTAAAAAAATGAAATTGTTGTTCTCAACAGCTATTAAAAACTGGGAAATCAAGATTTACTGTAATAAGATATAAATAACAATTTTGTGCAAAATATCAACTACATTTTTGCAGTTCAATTATAATTAATAACACAATATAACTGTGTGATGTCAAGTTAATACTTATCTGCATTTCAGACAGGGGCAAGGGGGGGGGGCTGTCACAAAACTCGTATTTTATTTTCAGGTACAAAAATGGACTTTAATTTTCATTGTTAAAGGGACATGTTTTTAAAAGTGGCAAGAGCGTCTTCTAGAGAAAATACTTTAGTCTATATAAAAGCAACAGTTTCACTATCATCTAGACCAGAGCTTTCCAAACTATTGCGACAGTGTTAGTGTGTCAGCTAAAGTGTGCAGGTGTGTCACACAAATGTAACAAGAAACATTTGAGTCTATATGAAATAAGCAATAAATGATGTATTTTTAAATATATAAATGAAATGTTTTCATGAGATATGTTGTGTTCCCATACATTTCTTGATTACAATTTATGTGTGTATCTTTATCTCTTTTAAGGGGTTGGTTTAACCTCCATTTTGCTACTGAAACTGAATTACTGCCTTGTGAAATGATGAATGTCTATAAATTGGTCTCCAACCTCAACTGTTTGGAAAGCTCTAATCTAAACACTTGTACAGGGTTGTCTGTAGCAAAATCCTGTTTGTTCCAAAGCAAAGTAAGGGTTTCTACAAACTATGCTTGTTCCCAATGTAAAGCAGATACTGGGATGGCATAAAGGTAATGAATAGTAGGAAACTAGGCGTAAGATTCGGCTCTCTGTGTCTATACCATGCTTCTCAAACTGTGCTCCTCCAGGTGTTTTGGACCTCAGTTCTCAGAAATCTCAGCCAGCTTACCAGCTGTTAGGAGTTGTGGGAATTGAAGTCCAAAACATCAGGAGTACGGCTTGAGAAACTGGTCTATACTGATTCTACAACAGTTTTGTAGAATGAGGAACTACAGCATTATTGTGAACAAGGAATGCCTCTTTGAACTAGTACATGTGGTCATTGACAAATTTCCTTTTCATTTTATATTCCATGAGATATTAAATAACATTTCAGATTGAACAGTGACATTGTTGCATAGTAGCAAAAATCAGTTATCAGGATTAATTCTCAGGAGAACGAAAGCAGTGAGCTTTGGTAAGGGGGTATATAAATGAGATACATACATGTATTCAGTGCAAAATTTCGAGGTATTATTTAAAGACATTTTATTTCGCATGTGCTAGATGAGGGGGGAAAAAATCAGAGAAATAAGCTCTCTGCATCTGAATAATTTATCAAAATAATGTTTATTTTCCCAAGAATCAGTGTCCATTTGTGGAGGATCCAGATTCCTGGGTCTTGCAGCATCCAAATAAAGCTTTTGATTTACACCATTTCTGTGAGTTTTGGAATTGAAGCAAATATTTCCATAATTATTGTAGTACAAACTGCTGGAGAATTACTGGTATGTTTCAAGAAGTGGAACAATTATAACAGTTCAGGAAATGGATGTTTTAGTGCACTTTTGCCATATTTAGCCAACATGCTATACTGTCTATTGTCGGTGCACAAAGTGAAAATTAGAGAATTCCACTGTAAAATAAACTGGTTTCAGTAACAAACTGTATCAAGGTGCCCTTTTCTCCCTTAGACCTGCACAGTTTTAAGACAAAAACCTTGCCAAACATTACATAATCTTCTTTTATTATTAAATGAGAAAACCTCATTCTCTTACATTGTCACATTGCTAGTCAGAGAAATGCTGCAGTGATGAAGGAAGTCTATGTTGGAGCAAAGTCCTCATTTTCTACAACATCCATTTACAAAGAAATAGTCATGTTCTGAAACAGCTCATCAGCACATTCTGAGGTTCCTTCATGAGGAGTCCTGAAGAGTCTTCCTCCAATGAGGCATATCACTATGAAAAATTATAGTTCTCCCCCTCTTCTGAACAATTCATTCTCAAACTGCACAAGATGCAAGATAGAAATCCTGAAGCTCTCAAGCAATCTTCACACATCATCGTCATCTGATGTGTCGCTGCTGCTAGTCTCTGTGTCTTCGTTCTCAAGAGTTGGTTGGAAAGTGCTGTTTTTCCAGGGACTAAATTTGAAGTCACAGACGAGGCCATTTTTTAGAACACCATTTTTCCTAAGGCCATTCTTTTGTAGCTGAAATTTTAAAAACAAGAGTTAGCACTCTGAATGTGTTAAAACCAAACACATTTAGTTGTTTTACAAAGTGTTATGATTATTTCACAAGCTAGGTGTTTTATACTTTATGTAGCAACCAAACTGCTTTTCCTTCCAATCATGACTTTGCACGTATGTCAGGAACTGAGCCTAATGAAATTGAATCAATTTATTCCTCTTCCAGTCACACAAGAGAAACGGGATGGACAAGGCTGTTTTGCTTCCTTTCTGCTTCCACATGTGTTCGTGCAAGCAGAAAGGTTGCAAACATCACTATCCATAGCTTTTAAATGAGAAAAATAAGAGATTCAAGCACCTGGCTTTTACAACATTTAAATGGTATCTTTATTTTTATTATTTTTATTTTATTATTATTAATAATAATAATACCCCATTTTTTCCCTTCAAAAAAGAGACTCAGAGGCTTACAGTAAAACTGATACAATACAATTAAAAACTCAAACAACATACAAACATTAAAATTAAAGTTAAATATGTCACTTAATGGCAGAGGATTGGGCTGGATGGCCCTTGTGGACTTTTCCAACTCAATGATCTATGATAGTCATGTGTGTGATATTCATTTTTCCCATTTCATTCTTTTCTTTCATTTATTCAGAGGCACAGAACAGCAAGGCCCCTCCCTGTACGAAAATAAACTTGACACGAAAGGAGGCAGGAGTGGGTACCGGCTCCATGTCTGCTTTTCAGCATCACAATTATAGAGGAGATAAGAGGGATTGTGCTCAGGGTGAAAACTAGTCGACTCCATCACCATTTCTCGCTGCCGTTTCCCCCTTGACTCCAAGGAAATTGTGTATGGCGTGCAGGCCCAAAATGCCCGGAGCTACCAGGGCCTGCAGCTGAGCGCCTTTCTGGGCCTCCATAGTTGCGGAACATGGCCGCCGGCAAATGCAATGATGGGCAAGCCCCAGCAAGCCACCAGCGAACATGGCACGTCCCAGCCATGCACCAAGGATCTTACCATGGGTCCACCTCTAGCTCTGATGAAGAAACCTTAGCAGTGGTGCAAGGTAGATTTTCCGATTGAAGGGGTAAACGGCAGCAAGAAATGGCGGCAGAAGTTTTTCACCCTGAGCTCAATACCTCTTCTCTCCTATTTCTGTCTCAGGGTGCCTCCAACCCCAACCAGGGAGCCCTTCAACTCCCCAGATGAAGGAGAGAAAACCCCCAATAAAAAGCCTTCTTAAACCGCACTCTGGGGAAGGGGTGCCTGGGTGGGAAGACCCCCCTCCAAATGGGCTGAAAGAAAACCGATATTTTGGGACTGAAAAGCAAAAACAGATATCTGCCCTCCCCATTTTGGAAGGCTCCATAAAAACAGATTGGAGTCCCCACCAAAAGCCAGAACATGAAATAGATCAAGGTTTACCCCAAATGCACAAGACTAATCTATGATTCTCTACCAAGATCAAAATAACACACACATGTTGTGATAGGTTTGTATCTCACCTGCTCACTAATAACCTGAAATTCCCTCATTTCATCCTCAGTTAGTGGAGCACATGTTTCATCATTTTCACTGTCTTCCTGCCAACCCATTTCTTTTAATAATCTGTATTTGAAAGAGAAATGTTTTCTTTATTTGTCAACACATTTCTAAAAATGTCAGCAAGTAATAAAATGTGTTATTCCTGAAAGAGGCTATTTCAGTCACTGAAGGAAGCTAAAGTCTAAAGTACCTGGAAGACACCTGACAGAAACCACTTTCCAACACACTATTCCTTCTTTTCCATTTCTTGGCACCATTCTCATCCATAAACATCAAAATTCTACTTTCTACCAGTAGCATCTAAACTAAGGATTGGATACAACTGAGTTTTCTCCTTTATACAAATCCAAAGCAGGTCTGTTTTCAGCTATAAATATATTGAAATCTTCTGAATATTCCAGTGAGAGATGTAAAATTTTAAAGCAAAACTACAGTGGTACTATATATGGGAAAACAATAATATCCTACATATCAATTCATTGCACCATTTTGAGAGCCCTGATGGGACTGTCAGGTAATAGATAAATTATTTACATACATTAATACATCTTTATTCCAGCAAGATAATTTTTTAAAAGGCAAAAACAATTTCAACTATTCCAAAATACATACCGATGCTCTGCTTCAAGTGAGCTTGAAAGGACATCGGTCTGAGGAAATGTTGAAGATCGGATGATCTGCTGAGATATCATTGCAGCATTTCTATTCTCTTGGGAAATTTCATTTTCAAAATTTCGGTTTATATCCCTCTCTTGATGACCATTATTGCTGTTATGTAAATTAAATTCGTCATCGTCATCATCTTCCTGTTAAAGAAGTAGCATATCTGAGTAAATTCCAAACAAGATATAGACATAATTTTTTTAATGTGTGTAGAAATGATGTTAAAGAAGTAGCATATCTATGTATTGAATTTTGCTAGAAATTAACATAAGTAGCTCCTGCTGGATCAGAACAGAAGCCCATCTAGTACAGCATCCCTTTTCCCACCATTCTGCTTAGACACCTATGAGAAGAAGGATATGAGGTCTTTCCTTGCTATTACTCAGACACAATGCCTCTGTAATAAGACGTAATATATAGCAATCAGGACTAGCTAAGAAAATTGTTTTAGGACTATAAAAGAACAAATATCTGTATGTGGTACAGCACTGGCTGAAAATTCAACTGCCTAAGCTAAAACTGATAAGCATAATAAAACCCTAGAAACAATAGTTCCACCTTGAGTTTCTTTGAGCAAGACGTGAGACAAAAATACGCCAGTAATAAAAATGAAACTCCTTTCTGCAAAGTACCCAATACCTTCTCTTGCTCTACACAATTCTCATCTTGTTCCTCTTCCACTCGATCACGTTTCAGGGTCTTCAAAAATTCACTCTTCTTATCAGTACGCATTCGTGTCAATTTGGTTAAGCGAGGCTGGCCAAGTTTATCAACAGGGGATGAAGAATTGGACCGATTGCACTAAGAAAAAAAGAAAATGTACAGGCAGTCCCTTCGTTACAAATATCCAACTTACAAATGTTTCATAGTTTAGAACAGGGCTGAGAGAACAGGAAGTGAGAGAAATCTACTCCTAGGAAGGGGATCCATTTCTGAAACAGTTATCATGGGGAAAAGGTGTCTCCACTGAAGTTTTATTACCAAGCCTTGTTTCAACAAGCCCCATTTTTCAAAATCCAATTATCATAGGAACAGAAAGTGAATAGACAGCACATATAGCAAAACACACACCACAGGGGTGTGAACTCTTCCCTATGCCATCTAAAGTGAAAAATTGAGAACAAACATACAGAATCTATCTTGTTCATAACTTGGGGTCTGCCTGTACACTAAAATGCAGAACATTTGTCTTTAAGGGAATTTTTCACTTTTTTCAGCTAGCCATGCTCTTGTCTTATTCTAACAATAGTGTCAGATTTCTAATTTATTTCCAAACTTAAGACACCCAATAAGAAATGGGAAAGACCCAAAATTTATGATACCTCTTTCACTGAACTCTGCGATCCAACAGCCTTGGAAGTAGATTTGAAAGCACTAAAGTTTCCAGTACCATAAGGAGATTCATGAGGAAATGGAAGCCCCAGTTTGTTTTCTTTTGTTTGGCTTTTCCACTGAGTAGTCTAAATAAAATAGAAAATAATATTTTTAATTTAATAAAAAACTATTAACCAGTTTGCTACATTAATAGTACTAACAATAACCTGAACATTTATCATATGCCATTTATCAACACAACCCTACAGTCTGATTTGTTTTACAAAGAAAAAAATGAGCAGTTCCCAGTCCGAAGCATTAACAATACCAATTTTGACAAATTAAAACAAAATCAAAGATGGGAGACAAGAGACACTCCATTAACAACGGATAAACATGATCTAATGTCCATATCAGTTCCATATACAACGTTGGAAGTAACTTTTTCACTTTCAATGAATGTGAAAAAACCGGAAGAAGGAAAAAATATGAAATTCCCACTGCCCAGATACACTACTTTCAGGATTTACCTTTGCTGGTGGAATAGCAGGTTTAGGGACTAAACCCTTATACACACTTGCACCAGTTCCATTCTTGACTGACTGTGAATGAACATTTCCTCCCACAGGGAAGCCAGATATCTGTAAATCTTTCGTACTGCCCTTTTTAATAACCAGCATTCGTGGAGATCTAGATTTAGGATTCAGAGGATACTCTGTAAAAAAAAATATGTCATTTAATTTTAGACTGCATAGCTAAATCCATGTCAGAAATAAAACACTTAAGAATCCAATGACAAGGCTCCCTTGAACACTTTGCCAATAAAATCAAGCATTTGTAGCAGTATATGGCAACTGAACAGTATCAATTATGAAAAACAAATATAGAGAAAATCAAGCTAAACATCGCAAATAACTGTATAGTAAAACATCAAATTTAAAAAATCACCACAAAACAAAGTAACAAATGTTGCTTCTGAAGCATTTGATTAAATGAACACTCAAAGTTCTGCATGTGAAATACTATCCAGCTTTAATACTAAAATGTCATCATAAACAAAAAACCAGGAAACCAATAATAGAAAAAATGTATTATTAGGAAAGAGAAGTAATGCTCTTGTATTATTACTTCCATTCACAACAAAATAGTATTCAAAAATTTGCTCTTACCCCAAACACCTGCAGCTAATGATTTATTCTGGTTTGGTTCTCTCTCATATTCAGGGTTGAGGGATGGCTAAAAAGAAATCAACATGGTAAATCATTTGATTACTTTAGGATCTGCAAAAAAACACCTAAAGTTTAAAACCCAACATGTCAAACAATAAAACCGATTTGCTGAGACACTTCACAGAAGTTGTGTGAGAACCAAGAGGAAGAAATCATTTCCTACAGAGAAGAGCTGAAGAGAGAAATCTGTCATCTCCCTCAAGACATCCTTTTACATCAATGATGCTTCCACAGTGTTCTGCCTCCTGTAATACTGTTATTGCTGTTTGTTACCAAACTGACTACAAGTTCATGGCAATCCCTAAGTCTTTGATGCTTCTACTTTCCACAAAGGCGAACCATACATTTGGACAACAGACATTTCTTGAGAATGTCTATGTTCCCTCTGCCTAAGAAAGGGGCAACTACCTTTGAACAGATCAGAGACAGCTTAGATCTAAAGAGATCCTTCTTTTCTCTTTTGAAATCTTGTTACCTATTGTTTACTGCCCTTTGTCCCTAGTCCCCACATGGCCAAGAAGAGTGGCCTTTACCTGCATCATATCCCTCCAGACCATCTTAACTGACAACAAAAGTTTTATCTGAGATAAAACATAGGCCTTTTCTACTTTTGTATTTTTTTACATTTTTGTCTAATGCAAAAGTTTGTTAAACTTCAAAAGCTTACATGATGCATTTTCTCACTCACCCTCACTACTGTGGCTGCCCAATACCTGTTTAGCACATTTAGTCTGTCTTTTCCGGAAAAGCCTATCTGATAGCAGCAGTGCTATTATTGTTACAGCCTCTTGTTCTAAAGTAGCAAGGAATCCCTTGACCACAGAAAAGTAGTGCCAAGTGGTGCCTTTTTATAGGCTACCAAACACACACAAAAATCTAGAGATTTGAAAGATTGATATTTACACAACAAAAATGCAACAATCTCATCCAATTGTGTTTATTGTTGAGTGATCCTGGAAAAGCATGTTGACCTGACATTTATCAAATAATCCTAGCTGGATGACAGAGAGGGCATAAATCTGCCCTAGTTATTTTCACTCCTCCTGTATGAATCTGCTAACTTATTTTCCTTTCAATAGCCTTCCATTGGGTGATCACAACATTTTTTTTCTTTTGGGTAGCTTTTGGATCATACAATAATTATGCCTTTTAAAAACTATCTTACATTTGAATTCGTTTTGGTGGTTATTTGGTTTTGCTGTGATTTTAATATTCTATGTTGTCATCAATCAATTTTTAAAATTATCAAACTATTTTTTAACTTAGGGCTAAAATTATGTTACATCACATGGCTTTTGTATACAAGATTTTTCTTTCAAATAGCCAACACAGATGCACTGATCTGAATTCTGATTAAAGGATACATAGGCCACAACCACATCAAAAGACAAAACTATGGCAGACATACTATATAATTGCCACCAGAGTTCTTATATGGAGGATTTTTGTGAAACTTGAGTTATGTACACCAAATGGGAACAACATGGTTAATGTAACATGAAGCTTAGCTTTATATTCTTAACCATCTTGGGTATACAGAGGAATGACAGCATAAAAATTAAATGAACACTGGTAAGGCCCTAAACATCCATTCAAGATTTCTTTTAAAAATGTCTGATATCAACATTAATTTCCAAGCATTAACATTATGTTAAAGTTCATTCTCACAAGAATACTTCTACACATGGAAGAAAGAACATTAGCAAAGCCCAACTGCAACCTCTTATTCAAGTTAAACTCAAGTGGTAAACTGTTCGCATCTGAAAGTCTTGAGTATACAGTGACAAACTTACAAAGTCTTCAGCTTCAAATTGTTTGGGCCTTTCCTTATCTTCTTTTCTCAGAATCTCACATTCAGTTGCATTGCTTTCATGTAAACCTTGGCTTTTCCCAGACTGAAAGCTGCTGGTACGAGCACGTGAACCTCCACTATGATATCCTGTTCTGTGGTTTGTATTTTCAGTGCCGTTTCTACCTTGGGAACGCCAGCTATTTCTCTCTTTTCTTCCTAAATGCCCTTGAATCATAAAAGGTTAAACACAAAGTTACAAACAATTTCAAATGTATTTTACTTTGTAAGAATACTATAACACACAAAACACAAAAACAAACAGGGTACTCTCATTTACCAAAAACTAGTTCTACAGCTGAGCAAAATAGATTAAGATTCATATAGTGAAGTATTCAAAATGCTTACACAATGACTGGGAACTAATGGGTTAAAACATGGGTACTTGAAACATAATTTAAGCAAAATTATAAATTCTTAAAAGTCTAAAACCAAATTAAAATAAGCCAACACCTTATGCGGAGACTAAATGCATACAAACCTCCATTTGAACGGCCACTACTAGGATCAAATCCATCAGAAGAGTTGTGCCGTCTACGATTAACTTCGTAACGATTCTCTGTCCATGAAAAGCTTTCGGAATGCTTCTCAAAATTCAGCGATGACTAAATAGGAACACAAACATTAAGTGAGGCAACTCTAGTCAATCATCAATTTATAAGACATGAATGCAAAATTGTAAACAAAGAGAGAGAAAAACCTGATGCCTTTGTCAAAATTTTCTCAAATTCCACAAACCTCTTTTTAAAGAAAACAAATCCTGATCAAAAGGAAATTGGTGGAGAAGATCTGACCATAAATTGCCTACAATTCTCATTATTCATCACCACTGGCTGCCTAGAGCTGGTATTAACTATTTTAACAACACATGGAGAATGATGTATTCCCCATTACTTGATTAATTAAAATAACCATTCACTTATAAATACATTTTTGGGAATTCAATAGGGCATAAGCAAACATAGGAACTACTAGAAACAAGCCTACTGTTTGTTTATGGAGTAATTTATACATGTAGGCTGACCATAAAGCAGTGTGCATATAACAGAACTTCACATTAATACATAACAAATTAGCAACAGTGGATCCCAAAACCTAATATGAAGAAAAAATCTTCCCACAGCAACACAATTTTGCTCAACTATCAAACAGCTATAAGGCATGCCTAGCAGTCCTCCCAAAGCTGCTAGCATACAATTCCAAGCTGACCTAACCAGTTAATAGCTACAGCTGAACAGCATTTTGAAGTTTGCACAATTCCCAACCTTTCTATAAAATGGCATTAGACTAGTATCATAGAGAAAAAGACCCTGACCAACAGAACCTCACTTCTGAAGGTGGTGAGATAAAACAGCAGGGCTCTTTGATAACTGGAGCTAGAAGTCTGAGAGACTTATTTGAAATAACCTGGCCTCAAAACACAAATGCATCAAAGGTAACAACTAGTAGTTGAAAATGAACTCAGAATCAAACTAGAAGCCACTACCAGTTCAACAGCAATTGGACTGCACTGGTTATGGTATTGGTTTTTCCTATGCATACTAATCACACTGTCTAACTATTTAGCAGACTGAGTCACCTGCAGTGATTCCTATATTTCACACTCATATTGACTTTTCTTTGGAAAATACCTTGTGTAGCCGCTCCAGGCAATTGAAGGGCCACTATAATTTAGATGCGCATTTTCCAAGATTGTTCCCTGTGTGCAACCATGCACTCCACCTTTTCGGCACATGGTGGAGCTAGAGTTCTATTAAACTTGATAATGTGTCAACTAAAGTGAGTTGTTAAAACTTTCCTTGATTTTCAAGGCATTATTCATTTCTCCACTATTGTAAGATGGAAAGTACTAGGCCCAGTATTCTTCCACATCTTTATTAATAACTTAGATGAAGGTTTAGAGGGCATACTTATCAAGTTTGCAGATGACACCAAATCAGGATAGTTAATATACCAGAGGACAGGATCAGAATTCAAAACTACTGTAACAGATTAGAGAGCTGGGCCAAAAGTATCAAAATGCATTTTAACAAGGACAAATGTAAGATATTATACTTAGGCAGAAAAATGAAATACAAAGATACAGAATGGGTGATGCCTGGCTCAACAAGTCCATGTGAAAAAGATCTTGGGGTATTCGTAGACAACAAGTTAAACATGAACCAACAGTGTGCTGCAACAGCTAAAAAGGCCATTAGAATTTTGGACTGCATCAAGAAGGGGTATAGTGTCTAGATCGAGGGAAGTCATGGTGCCTCCCTATTCTGCTTTGGTTAGACCTCACCTGCAATACAGTGTCCAATTCTGGGCACCACAGTTTAAAAGAGATATTGACAAGCTGGAAGCTGTCCAGAGGAGAGGGCAACTAAAATGATCAAAGGTCTGGAGACCATGTCTTATGAGGAGCTGGGCATGTTTAGCTGCAGAAGAGAAAGTTGAGAGGAGACATGATAGACATGTTATCATAAGGAAGAGGAAGCAGGAAACTCGGACTCAGAGCAATGGTTTCAAATTGCAGGAATGGAGATTCCACCTGAACATTAGAAACAACTTCATGACTGTAAGACCTGTTCAGCAGTGGAACGCTCTGCCTTGGAGTGTGATGGAAGCTCCTTCCTTGGAAGCTTTTAAACAGAGGCTGGATGGCTGTCAGGGGTACTTGATGTGCTTTTCCTGTATGGCAAGGGGTTGGACTAGATGGCCCATGTGGTCTCTTCCAACTCTTATTATTTTATGATTTCATGAAAGCAATATACCCTATTGCTTCAGTTCTAAGACACACTTTTTTCCTCATATAAACATCTTTAAAAATAGGGTATATTTATTTATATAAAAGTAAAGCTTTTCTCTCTCTCCCAGTATAGAGACTCAAGATGAAAGCACAAAGACTGCATTACCAATACATTTATGTAATAAAGGAAGCCACAGTGCAGAGTTTGCAAAATAGTAGTAATTCCTAAATGCTTATTTAGTTTAGACCCAACTACTAAGTAAGGAGGGAAAAATTGTCTAGAGAAGCCATGCAAAAAATTATTGAAATACTAAGGTAAACTTGAACCTAGAATGCATGGCAACCTGATTTAATTCATTACAGAATTATATTACAGTAACAATGGAAATTTAATTCCAAGAACTTTGTGGTTCTGCAACTGCAACTTGCTCTTCTCTTTCCTCAAGAAACCCTTATGGAATCCTTTTTTTTCATCAGCCCCCTACCTGAATAATCTTAATATAGTAAAACCCTTTTCGACAAGGGTGAGATTCTGTGTTCCTGGGAGTCAAGAGGCTATGTTGATGGTAGCAGTACTTAAGGGAAGGATTTCTCATGTAAGACAGGCTTTTGCTAAGAAGCCACAGTAAATTATTATTATTATTACATTTATATTATTATTATTATTATTATATTATTATTGGAAGGATTTGTAAGCACATTTACACTGAAGAAGGCTAGAATAATGATTTAATCAGAGTTGGACAGTCTTATCTTAATTTAGTTTTATGTAAATATTTAAACAATTAACCCACTAATGCCTCAATTAATGTAATGTTATTGGTATCTATTTTTATTTTTGAAATTTACCAGTAGCTGCTGCATTTCCCACCCTTGGCTTATACTCTAGTCAATACGTTTTCCCAGTTTTCTGTGATAAAATTAGGTGCCTCAGCTTATATTCAGGTCAGCTTATACTCAAGTATATACAGTAGATCACTGTTACAATAAAACATTAACACTAACTATAAAAAAGATTTAATACATTCATATGCCATAATTCTATTACCATTTTTACAAAGAAATCAAGATGTTACACACACAACCTCTCTATTTCTATCCTCACAACTATTTCGAGCATGTTTATGAGCTTTTTTGACTAAATGAGTATTTCAATCTGGGTTGTTCTGATCTTAGACCTACACCCTTGACACTAATGATAACTTATTATTGTTTGAAGATGTTTGTAGTTACAACCATCAGCCACTGGGAGTAGCACTGCTTTAGTAACCTTACTATTGCAAGGTTAATAGGATAGTGCTTTTCCTCAGTCACTTTTAACAGCAATAATGTAGCATGTTAAATATACAGTTACATTTTTAAAAACAATATTTGACAACAGTTTAATAATGAACAGGCAACTGCCAAATCCATCTTATTTAAATAGTATCACTACAGGCAGTCTCCAAGTTACAAACATCCGATTTACAAACGATAGTGAAGAACGAGGATGAGACAACAGGAAGTGAGAGAAACCTACCCCTAGGAAAGGAAATTCACTCCTGAAAGAGAAGATGTGGAAAAGGTGTTTCCACTGAAGCTTTCTCACTAATCCTTGTTTCCACAAGCCAAATTTTTCAAAATCCAGTGATCACAAGGCTAGAGAGGGGAAATCTTCTGAACAGGAGCACAGAGAGCAAAGCAAACACCACAGGGGTGTTAACCTTTCCCTACACTATCTAAAGCTTTTATATAGTACAATACAATACAATACAGCCGGCTATTAGGAATTGTGGGAGTTGAAGTCCAAAACACTTGGAGGGCTAAACTTTGCCCATGCCTGCTGTGCATGCTTTAGCATGTTTGTTTATGTTCAATTCACCCTTCCTACTTTAAAACATGTTTATTGTAATGAGCATACCTTAAATATCTAATTTTAAAGAAAAAAACTCTAAAAATCCATGACCAAAAAAATCTCCAAACTTTTTAGTTAAAATTAGTTTCTAATAGTTATAGGCATATTCAGTTAACAAAGTCTACAACAAAGAAACTCCTTTTTACAAAGACTTTTTACACTCACAAAGCCCCCCTTATCTGCCTTGTCAGTCTCTAGCTGGAATTTTCTTAGCACCAACAACACTTGACGCTGCTGAAGAAAACTGAAGACACAGACTTCCACATTGTTCTTTGCTGACCATGCAGGAACAACAAGGCAGAGATAAAACAGTAAGGTACACAAGCCTACCTTACGAACCACCCTCAGCATTTTCTAAAGCAAATACACAGGTGATCTATATAGTTAGCCATCAAAATTGAAATGATAAAAAGTCACTCCTGCACACATTTTAGAAATCTTCAAGTGGCCTCTAGGGTACATTTACACTGCAGAATTAATGAAGTTTGACACAACTTTAACTGTCATGGATCAATAGTATGGAATCATAGAAACTGTAGTTTTATAAGGTCTTCAGCCATCTCTGCCAAGAGTCCTGGTGTCTTATCAAACTACAAATCCAAAGATTCCACAGCATTGAGCCATGGCAATAAAAGTGGTATCAAACTACATTAGTTCTGCACTGTCAATGCAGTCCTAGGAGGTTTAAAATATTTGTGTTTCCCCATGCAAGGCTCAGTCAATCTGGTTGTTTCATTTCATATGTGTTTAAAAATACAAAGGGTTTGTGTGTTTGTGTGTGTGGTTTAGGAACATATACAGATTCTTTCTATGGCATTTTTGCCTATGGTAACAGTTTTTCTGCTAAAGTAATGCTCATTAAATGAGGTATACCTGCATTACCAAGAATTTAATGGTTAAATAACTGATGAGAAGTAAATGGCAAGTAGTTTCTGGTACTTGGCATACAGTAAGAACACACCTTTGATGTTGATGGTGGAGTAGGAAAATTAAGCCAGGCTGGAGCAAAGTCATGCTGCGCCATTTAGGTCCAATCTCTCCAAACCAGTGAAATAAGGCTTCAACACCTCATGACAAATACCTGTTAGGAAAATATTACATAACATTATGTAAGATAAATATTTATATCTTCTTCTTTTATTTCAGTGGCACACAAGACAATTAAGAAGTGAAAAGAACTACAATACATTTCAATAATCACTGCTAAAACAAAACATGAACCCACAAGCTTCTCAACAAGTACTATAAATGGGCTGTCACAAAAATGTGCATTTGCCCTGGTAGAACAGAAACAAACTGGGAGCTTCCAAAAATATTAAAACAATACTGATTTTAATATCCAAGTTGCTGTGGATATACTGTTATATTTATTTATATCCTGCATTTTTCCCAAGGTTATTTATCATATTTGCCTACTTAAAAATCCCCACATCTTCATAAGAGGGGAGTGTTAGGATAACCTAATCTTATGCCCTGTATGGAGGATTCAATGAAAGAATCACATTATGAAAATGAAAAAATCCCAAAATTTTGCTTAAGTCTTCAACACATATTGTGCACATAAAATATATCGGACACAACACATATTAGAATTAAGAATATATGCAATTTGATGAATTCAGCCAGACTAATACCAAATCAGCAAGGACTGGGCCATGTGAATGACAGACTAATGTTAAATATAAACATCCTGCTCACAATTAAAGTTAATTTGGTATAGTGGTTTCAGCATTGGACTAAGATTGTCTGGACCAGGCTTTGGATTTCTGCTTATCAAGGAATCTCACTGGGTGACCTTTAGCAAGACGCACTCTCTCAGCCTAAGAGGAAGACAAAGGCAACCCTCCTTCCAAACACTTTTTGGAGAGAAAGGACTTAAGGAACACAAGAACACTAGATGAGAAATCCTGGCAGTACTAGAATAACTAAAAACAATTTTTCAAAGAAAAAAATTCAATGATGTATTCTAATAAAAACCTTTGATTTTTAGCCTTACGTTCACAATCTTTGAGGCTTGCAACTTAATATAAGCTGTCTAGACTTGGGGGTCTCTCGTTCCAAGGATCACCATAAGCTGAAGCTGATTTGATGACAGTTAACAATAAAAAGACATCAAAACTACTCCCTTCTAACATTCAAAATTTATGGTGAACATCTTCCATGAACACAGGAACAGTGCCTCTATTACAAAAAAAAACTGTTTTAAGATATATCTTAAACAGTATTCATACTAATTTCTTTGAACACTGATTGCCTCTAAGCCCATGCCATAACTACTGTTTTGGCCCATGAAAGAGGAAACAGGTCCAACAAACAGAAAGTTTGGGTTTCCAAAATGCACACATGTATTTCTTTGAATTTTGTAAGACGTTATCAAATATGTGTACGAGGGAAAAAACAGAGCAGATAATAATTCAGCATTCAAATTGGATTGTAGGGTTTTTGATATATAACAAACCTAACAAGAAAACAAATGTGTCATTTTAAGAGGAAAAGTAGTCATACAGACAATGCATTTTCAGGAATGATCTGAAATCAAAAATTCTGGGTAGACATTCATATACCAACATAGATGACCAGTCCCAAAATTAGATTTTATTAAAAGACTGAATAGTACCAATAAGTTGCTTTCATAGGAACAAGAAAATCTCAGACCAAAACCAATGAACCGACAAACTAATACTATCTCTCATGCAAATCTCTTTTCCAATAATAAAAAACAATTAGGGACAATAATTTGGATACTGCCACTGCCTATAAGTTGGCTACTGACATTTCATCAAACCTTGAGAGTAAAAGTAAAAAAAGATTGTTGAGTCCATAAAGGCCTTGGACAGAACATGTCACAAACAGGCCTTTTCTCTTGTTTCACAATGATCCAAACTCTGCTTTGAGAAAATCTCAATTAGTATTAGCAGACTCCTGACAGAAATTCACATAAGGCATATGAGCAGCACTTTGAATTTTCCCAGAAATACAGTAGCAGTGGTGCTGGGACAGAATCGCTCCTGGGATGTCCCACCATCCCTGGTTGCTGCATGTTATACTAGCTGTATTTTCAAAAGCAATCTTACAAATAATGCACTGCTGTAAATTAACACTGAGCCTATCAAAGGACAAGGTAATTATCCCAGATAATACTACTTTAGACACAGGAGACACACACCAGAGTGGAATAATCTTTATTTATTTATTTGCTTCATTTATACCCTACCTTTCTCACCCCCTGTAGGGGACTCAAGGCGGTTTACAATAATAATAAAACTTATTAATAATAATAAAAATAAAGATACCATGTTATTCCACTGAGTTTGCTTGTGATTCAAGCGACAAGAATGGATCCAATAGGCCATCCAAACCACAAAATTTCTCCTTCAAAAAATGTAAGCTTGTATGAAATAGACTGAACAAGTCTGATAAGATCAAAATAATAATTCACTAGCACACAAATTTCTACTGGATTAAGCTTGTTTACTGGTCCTCATATTCACTGTCATGACCAAACATCAATTTAGCACATCCACTGCCTCACCTGAAGATGAAAAGGAGAACTAGATCTGTGGTGCCAGAGGTATACTGAGAAGGCACTGCAAAACTCTGCATCACCCTACTCAACAGTTTAATGTAGATGTTAAATATAAAAGGGAGAAATTCTTGATTCCTGCAGAATCCCCAACTGAAGAGCCAAGCACAATCCTTCAAATTACACATCCTGGAGTTGACCATCCAAGAAAATAAAGAACCACTGCTCTTCATAAATAAACTGAAGGCATTAAAGTGTTTAAATTTGCAAGCACTACATGGGGAAGGGAGATGAACCAAAGACATGTGATGTCTGGTAGATGTCTGAATCTACTTTTTATCCAGGTGTTCTGCCACTTTTATGGATTTTGTCTTTACTTAATAGATTTACATGGCATACTTGAAGAACAGATTTGAGGACAGCTCTTAAAAACAAAATAATATAAAACTTATGAGTCAAGATTAAATAGGTAAAATAGCAATATATTTAAACCTGCAAAACAAATCCACTGGTATCAAATGGATGGCACATTTGGTGCAAGGCAACTTTAATTAGGAAGAAAACTCTACAGTTTGCTACAGCATAGGTGACCCTCTCCTATGATTTCCAATCACATTGCCTCCCATGGCTGAGACACCAAAAGAAACCTGCTGAAAATATAGTGGTGATTAATAGGTAGGTAAAGGTAGTCCCCTGACATTAAGTCCAGTCATGTCTGACTCTGGGGTGTGGTGCTCATCTCCATTTCTAAGCCGAAGAGCCAGCGTTGTCTGTAGACACCTCCAAGGTCATGTGGCCGGCATGACTGCATGGAGCGCCGTTACCTTCCCGCCAGAGCGGTACCTATTGATCTACTCACATTTGCATGTTTTCGAACTGCTAGGTTGGCAGAAGCTAGGGCTGACAGCGGAAGCTCACGCCGCTCCCCGGAATCAAACCTGCGACCTTTCGATCAACAAGCTCAGCAGCTCAGTGCTTTAACCCACTGCACCACCGGGGGCTCCATGATTAATAACAACTTTACAAAGCCAGGAAATTATGACAATTAAAGGCATTCAAGCTACATTTCCAGAGACAATGACAGCACAGTTGGCCTTTCACGTTTGTGGTTTTGACTTTTGTGGATTTGATTATTTACTGATTTGATTTAAAATGTTCCTTTTAGGAATCTCTATGTCATCCAGTGTGATTTCATACTAAAGTTTACTACAGAGCTGTGCTGGAGGACGTGGAAATTGCTAGAGGTGTTCTCTCGGGTTAAAAAATATTTTTAAGATATAAGTGTATTTGTTGAGATTTATATAATAGCAATCTATAAGAAACACAATAAAAATTTCTCCCCCTCCTGGGGGTTCTGTGCCCCTAATCCCAGAAAAAGTGGAGAGCTGACAGTACTTCAACTAACCATGGCACTACCAGTTTCTATGTACTACAGGATACCACATTGTATCTATCATTGATGCAACAAAAACATCTTCCGAATAGCAAACATTTGACAGGTTAATCAAGACTTAAGCTGGAATTCTCATAATCTAGGGATCTGCAGGAACTCTGAGCTGTCATATATAAATTTGATTCCTGGTTTATTGTGCTGTGCTGTGCGCACATTTTGTAAACTTTTGTTTTTGGCCATAAGCATAATCACTAAAATATTCCCCATTAAAGCCTCATATGACTAGAAGCAATGATAGCCTGTGAGGCTAGCACAAAAATAAAATAACCTATACCTTGACAATTCATTCCTTTTAGCAATGTTTCCTTTTGTTTTGCCTTCACAGAATTCCAGCTACAAACAAAAACTGAAAGGTTCCCCCAACTGGTAAATCACAAAGACTTACAATTATGAAATAAAATAGAACAGTGCACTTTCATGGGAAAATTAAGTGTCTACCCTATATTCATGTATAAATCTAGAAATTTTAGTGATGACACCGATATATTTCTTCATGCCTTCAAAAACAGCTTTAGTTAAGGATGTTGTGTCTCCTCTGAATGAATGCCTGGAGGAGGTAATGGCTGAATGAAGAAACGAAATCAAACTGAATCCAGTTCTGGAAGGGGTTACACTCTGCCTGAAAGACTCTGTCTGCAGCTTGCGAGTGCTCCTGGATCCACCTCTCCAAATGTTAGCCCAGATTGCTGCAACCATCAGGAGTGCTTACTAACACATTACTGCACCCCTTCCTAGAATCTGAGGACCTGAAACTGGTAGTGCATTGCTGGTAACTTCAAGGTTGGACTTTTGCAATTTACTTTCCATTGCATTGGGAGAGCTTTGCATCAAGTTCGGAAACTTCAATTTGTTCAAAACACAGCAGACAAAACTATTTACAGAACCATCCAGGGGTGAGGATGTTACACCTATACTACAGTCACTCCACTGGTTGCCAATTAGTTTCAGGGCAAAGTACAATGTGTTGGTTTTGACCTTTAAAGTCCTACATGGTTTTGGTCTAGGCTACCTACGGGATCACCTTTTCCCATATATCCACCCAGGTCATCTAGGGGGCTAAATCAGCTGTCAGAATTTAAGAACAACTCAAAACCTATCTCTTCCG